ACTTTTTCAAGAAATAAATTTTCGATGTTCTTTTGACCTCTCACCCAGCCTCACCCACCCCGCTACCATGATGACCCCATAGTCCTCAGATTCGAACTCCACATATCGAAAAACCTGTAGAAATGTCTTTTCCGAAAAATAAATTTTCGATGTTCTTTTGACCCTGGCACAAACAAACGCATTTTCGTTTTTTTCGTATCACCCTCCTTTCAGTCGAGGGAATATCTTATTCTGAATATTATAAGAATTAGTGTTTGATGATGGATACTTTGAAGTATTGAAAGCCGACACAAGCCTATCGACATGACTCAGCAATGAACTGAACTCTTTTCAGCTATCTGCATTCATCAATTATAACAAAAAGGACTAAAGTAAAGTCAAATGAATTGAAGCTGTAAACTTACTTATCTTGCTCATCTTTTGTACATTAGAATAGAAAATATGTAATATGAAGAGTTTCTTATAATTACAATTTCTTTTCGGTGTTATTCAACTAGAAGGAAATCAGTTGAACTTACTTATTTCTGTATTGTTTTTTTCGCACTACTTTTTTTTATTAATCTTCTATTTTTCACTTATTATGTTCTTTTTATTAATTCAATTTTTATCTTAATAAAATGATAGTCAAATTAATAGAAAGTTTCCAATATATTTAAAATTTTTTTTTATTATATGTTGATTTAGAAAAGATAATCATCATTTTTCTTTAGTTTTATTTGAGGAGAAAAAGTAATATATACAAATAAAACAAGAACTTGACTTTATGTTTTATTTTTTTTAAATAGATCAAATGGCAAGTTAAAATTACTTTGTGTATTTATAAAAAATAATTGAATTGGATAGAAACTCTTAGACTCGATTAAAAACGTCTTTGTGAACAAGAAGATGACGTTATTTATTGCTTTATTTTTTTAAGTTTATTTATCTTAAAGAATTAATGGAATAAATAAAAGGGTTTGTCTTAATTTTAACTTAATAAATGAATTAGAATCTCATATTATTTATCTTCTTTTACAGAACAGAAAGAACAAAAATAATTGATAAATATATATCAAATCGAGTGAGTCTTGTTTTATTCAAATAAAATGAAAAAAAAGAATAATTGAAAGAAAGATTTGAATTGAATTTGTTTCTATCAATTGATGAAGAGTTGTGTATTTATCAGCTAAAATATAATACTTAATGAATTCGTTTCAAAAGAACAAACAAAAAATTGATGATTAATTAAATATTTTTAAAAATAATCTTAAGAGATTTGATATTAGAAGAAATTTTTCATTAGTCGTTCAACATTTTAAGCATGAATATCTTCTTTTAATATTCAGCGATGTTATCAATTCTATTCTGAATGATTATTTGTGTTCTTTTCCATAACAAAAGATTAATACTTCAATATTTATTTCTGTTTTTCTTCTTATAAAAAATAAATATGATGATTATGAATTGATGACTTTATTTAAAAATATTATATAAAAAAAGAAAGTTTTCTTTTTGGAAATAAATAAATTTAGTAAGCATAATCATAGAATATTATTTAACAAGATATCATTTTATGAAGTTGAGGAATGATGAACAAGAGAAAAGAAAAGAGAATGATCGCATATAACACGAGTGATTAATGAGCGTATATGACGCGATACGGGTTCATTATCTGTGCGAAGAGAATTTGTTTTCATATTGCCATGTATTGTACCATTCATAATTATTGAAACTTTTTTACTTATGCTTAGAGATACTGAGTTGACATCTTAACGAACTGGAAGCATGTGTCTGATTTTAATGACAAAAAATAACAATTGAGTAAAAGTTTATTTGAAATAAAATAAACTGATTGCTTTATTTTTAATCAGTTAAAGAAGACATGTGGACTATTTCATTTTTTGTTAATGTCATTCGTTCTGATAACATTCACTCGCTATTTCATTATTTAATTTTCGGCTCCTAACTAGAGCTCCGCATGAGCACTGTCAAATAAGATAGTCACGGTCACGGTTATGATCACGGTCGAAATCATAGCTGATATTTTTTTAAAAGTTCGTGACCGTGACATGATTATAACTGAAAGCAAGTCACGTCGTATTTTATTGCCTGCTGTGTTTATATACTCATGAATGATCACTTGAGAAAGAGAAAAAAAAACACTACCGTTCTCACTGCGATAACAACTAACATTTTCTAAAGTTATTTTTGATTACCTCATTTGAACAAAAATATCATCTATATATAAGCTGGATACCAATCTTTGAGTTATCATTCTACCAAATAATCTCATTCGAATAAGTTGATCAAGTATGTATCTTTAACAGTTTTATCGATAATTATTTACTCAGAAATTGCAGATATCTGCTATTATTCTCTTCTTTTTCATGAACTACTCATCATTATTTCTAGTTTTCAACAAAAATATATACATGGATCGCGTGTTAAATTTTGATGAATCAGTATCTGATTCTGTATTGGTCGACGCTCAACAGGTACGAGGATTGAACTTTTTTTTACCGCTTGGATACCGTTGTATTCAGACTAAAGACAAGCAGAACGAAAAAAAGATAGACATGTGATATGATAGATATAGAGCCAATATAGAGGATCGTTCGTATGTAATAGACTAGATCATACATATACAGCTGATTGAGCATGACTGAACGCAAGAGAGAGTGATTTTTCTCTATGTTCGTATACAGAAGGCAAGATTTGTCGGTATCTAAGAGATCAAATAACAATATAAAAATCTGTTTCTTATAAATAGCGTCCTAGTGTTATTTTTCACACATCTCGACGATAATCATTTTATACAAAAAAGTCATAAACTATTCTCTTTTAGATGTTTATTGACTCTGCTGTAAATGAAAATTTATGTTCTGAAATACAAAATTCTGACTCAATATTGGAAAACTCTACAACAGGTCGATGCACATCAAAAAGATTTAAAACTAATCGAAGTGAAAGTGTGATTAAAATAGATGATGATCGACTAAATCGAATGAATTTCTTTTTAAAAAATATCATAACAACAAAAACATATCTCGATGTATTCCTTTTTATTGCGGGTTTATTTCCTTTTGTTCAACAGAACGTCGAAAATCGTTCAGCAAAGATTCGATACTTGTGCGTTGCAGGTAATTTTTTTCCTGTTTGAAATATTATCTTTTTAAAACATATATTATAGACACATCAACCTCATCAAATCAAAATTCTGTTTCCATTCATCTTTGTTTCGAAAAGAAAGTCAATTTTAAACACAGTTTTCTAAATGATCTTTTTCCAGGTAAAAATTGGAAACTAACATATCTTATATGAATGTTTTTTATTTAATAGCGTTGAAACACATAGATTACATGTATATAACAAATGGTGATCAATATAACATAGAAATAAAACAATTAGCTAATGAAAAATATATTGAATCATGCTTATATACGATAAAGACGGTAAAAAAAGAGAAGTTTGCGCTGAAAGATAAGTATCTTGAGAAACGAAACGACGTTGCTCGTAATGCATTAAAAGCAGAAACTGTTCAAGAAGGTTTGATTATTTTGTTTACACAGATTTTTCTATAGTAGATGTCTATTTTATAGGTGCTAATATAATGAAAAATGATTTTCCATGGGAGTATATAGTGCATGGCGATAAAATGAGAGGTAATGTTGAATATGAACTTCGTGAAACAAAAAAGCAGCAATTGATTGACTATAAGCCAATATATGATCCAATAACATTTAAGTAAATATCTTCTACAAATAACTTTTGGAATCTACGATTGTTTCATAGAATTCCAGACGAACATAGAGAACAAATTCAAGAATGGATAGATAATAACTTTCGAAAACGTATTAATGGTGAGATATCTAGATCCAGATGTTTATTTATGGTTGGACCAACACAACACGGTAAGAGCTTGAATTTTTTTTAATTTATTTGATGATACATGTGTATCTAATAACCTACTCCAACGATATTTATTTAATTATCTTAGTTCTATTACTATTCAAGCTTTTAATATCTTGATGATCCTATTATGTAAAAAGAATACAACTATATTTAATTTGTATTCATTTTTATCAGAAAAAAATCAGATTAATTATATTCATTCAAAATTTATTAGAGCGAAATGTATATGTTCAAATCGTTGGTTTCATTTTTAATAAAACTGAATGATAGTTCTACTTATATTAAAATTTGATAAAGAATTTAAATGAAATAAATTGCATTTGGAGCACCGAATAAACAACTACTTTCTCTTTTATCTTAAAATAGAATTTGAAGAATAATTAAAACCATGAATTATTTTTTTACAAATAGGGTAGACTATTTGAATTTCTTTGAGTAATACGACATGCTGCTACAATATTATATACATATATACGTATATATCTAATATATTTAAATAAATGTTTAATAACTATTGATCATTATTTATTCATTTAGAGTGTTGAATTGCAAAACGATAGAATTTTCTTTTCTTTATCCCAAATATCTTCAAATTTATCTTGTTCAACACATTTTTTCCCAATCAAATAGAAAAAAATAGATGTCCTCACATTTTTCATGATAGATTTCATTCAATTTCGAATATTCGTGCAGAAATTCATTGTCTTGAAATTACTCATGAAGAATTTCATTCAGTTGAATATATTGATACACAATTTTTCCATTTAAATATTCTAACAGTTAATAATATTGTTATTCAGGCAATATTGTAATGAGATCGCGTTTTTTATTACATCTATATGATATTTTATGATTTTCATCTCATGTATAATTATCAGAATAAGGAGAGTCTTTAAGAAGAGTTTGAGATGTGTCACTCACATGAACTCCTTCAGGCTAAATTAACAATATTTTTAAAAAGTAAAATTCGCCAATCTTCATCTCCATATATATTATTTGTTAATTTAACTCTCGTCTGTTCATCCATTTCTCATCATCGCTATTGTCATGGTTCATTTAATGCTTATGTGTGATTTTGTTTATCTTGAACTAAGAAGAATAATTATCTTTCTCATATAACTTAAATATACGAAAGATATTTTTTTCGAACAGTTTATATATAGACAATACTTGAAAAAATAATCATGAATTTTTGATTTTTTGTTCTCTATGAATATTAATATTTCTTCGATTGCATTCTATAAACACGTAATGTATGACTAGTAAATAGTAACTCTTGAAATACAATAAAAAAAAGAAAGCATTGCATCAATGTATACTCAAGATATTAGGATCCCATTATGTGATTGAACAGATCAGAGCGACTCGAGTTGCATTCCACCGTTGTAAAATAATGTAGGAAGGGATTAACCATAATGATTAAAGAAGAAAAAGCAGGCAGTAGCAAATAATAAATAGTCTAACTGTCAATAAGTGAAGATTGTTGATAAAAGAAGAAAACTTCCAATTTGAATGTAAAATTATAAAACATAATGTGCAAATTGTTTAGATATTATTCTTAAATAAAAAGGGATTTGTAATTTTATTTAAAAACAATTAAGTTATATATATCGATCTAAATAAAAAAACTCTTGGATTATCCACATACAGGTAGATATTAGTTTGTCCCGCATCTGTATATTTCATTCGTTGATCACTTGGATGTAGATGAATGAATGATGATTATAATAAAATAATCTTCGGCTTCCTGTCGTCTGTTGTGTTTTATCAATAAGTGCCGACCACCTATTTTTTTGATAGTTTGATGAAGATGATAAGCAACCATCGAATATATGCATGTGCGTGAGTAAAAGAAGCTGTGGCCGAAAAGACAATGAGATTAAAAATTCATTTTTAACTCGCATTCATTTTTATTCGGAGTATCTCATCATCATATTCATTAGATGATTGTCACCATGTAAACTTCTCTCTCTCTCTCTTTCTTTCTTTCCAGTAATATAAGGGAGTTTGTTAACAGGCTCTTTCCATGATAGTAGCCAGATCTTGCTTCTCTATCTGCAAATTAATACTCGTCTGTCACTTTTCTTCTTCTTCTTTTTTCTCCCTCTCTTTTCATCCTAATTCATTTGCTGCTATACAGTTCTTCTTCTTTCGATTGATGTGTGAATATGTATATATATATATATGTGTATGTTCGTTCTCTATTTTTTCCTCTTCTTTACTATCTATAGCTGCTACGTATCCTCGTTACTATACGTGTCCACTTGTTGATCGTTGTCTTTTTCCATCATTAAACATTCATAAAGACTTGGTCGATGATGATGATAATGATCACCATTATCAATAACATATTGTAGGTCAATATCCAAGCGACTAACTATACTGAATAAACGAATAAAGCAATTTCACACTTCGAAAGTGGTCCAATACAAACGGTCAGTTATGAGAGTGGTTTCTTTTTGTGTACTCAAAAAGTGAGTACACTACTAGAATCGGTCAG